TAGAAAATCTAAGTTATTCAACAGAATGAAAATACTTTTTTTTTTCCATCTGAAACAATCTTTAGAAATTGTTTAGTAATAAAACCATCACAGAAAAGAACAAAGAATTGCTATCAGAGAAACACTATTGTTCCATGGCTGTCAAAGTTTCCAGGAGTTCGGTGCCTTTGTCCTTATCTGGTGCTGCCAGTGAGTTACTGTGCAAATGAACACGAGTCATTTCCCTTCTTTACGCCTAATTTTTTTCTGTCTATACAATGCAGATGAACTACTTTGCATAGCAAATACCACTGAGATCTAAGGACAACAAATATCCGTAAAAGAGATCAGCTGTTATTATTTTAAAAATAATCTATTATGTTTGCATCCTTATACCTGTTTTTTTTTCTATATTTAAGGGCTTTGTATGGTACTTGATTTTATACTATATTGAATGAAGGTTACATAGAGATAGCCACTGAATTTATGATCAATAGAAAATTGCAAATTTTTTCTCCCAACCAATTCTTTCCAATGATCCAGCACAACACATCAATAAAAAGCTCTGAATTGACGCTGTTTCCCCATTTCATGCCCTGTTTAAGTTCCCTGGGGATGACAGATTAATTTAATTAGTTTTATTGAACTGTCTAGTTGCTTTTATTGGCAAATCTACTCATAGGAAGAAGGCTGCAAATTTCTCTTGAGGTTAGAATTGTCCTACTGGTCCATTTTTAAAATAAAAGTGAATTTACTGTCATTTCTTATACAGTTTTCTGCTATGCTTTCTGCTGCTAAGACTCACATTTGTAAAGTGACACTTTATAGGAAGTTTAAAGTTGTTTTCCCAAATGTGATTAACAAAAAAAGAAAGCAGACAGCTACCAATCAAATGGAACTGTGAACTAAATACATCGTTCAGCTTTCACTGGGGAATTAATATGATCACAATACACAGTATGGCTCTTGCATGCCACCTGGAAGCAGAGAAGTGGTCAGCTACTTTCCAACTTCCTCTGCTTGACAACTTGCTTGATACAGAAGCATCAAAAAAACAGCACTGAGGCTATGAAGTATACATCCAAGGTTCCATTTGCTCTGAGGTGGGTGTGATCAAAGTCCTCAGACTTCAATGCACTGCCAGACAGTGTGAGGTATATGAAACAGAGCAAAATTAACAGCAGGAATGGACTGAATTTAACCCCAGTGATCAAATGCCCAGGACCATGGAAAAAAATATGAATCTATACCTGGGTTTGGGTAAGAATTTTATTTATGGCAATATTTTTCTATGCAGCTGACTGATCCAGGAATATTTTTGGAAGTGGGAGAGGAGTAATTTAAAATTTAAATAAAAAATTTGAAGCTTGGACCTTTGGGGTTGGGGTTTTTTTCTGTATTTTTTGTAGAAGGTCAAAGGAGATATTTTATGTTCCAGTGAATTTCCCAATCTTCCTCTGAGTTGAGAAAAATTAGCAGATGCTGCCTTCTAATTTTGGATATCAGAGTTCTCTCTACCAGATTTCAAACATTCTTCCTAAGATTTGAAAGAGTCTCTCTCCCTGTGTGGCAATTTTTTAAAAAGTGAGGATTGTGTCTATTTCCAGGAGATTTTGTCCAAAGTTGCTCTAGGAAATGTTTAGTTCTGAAGAGACCACTCATTGACCACATCTGCAGAAATCTGTGTCATAGATTCCTTTGTAAATCCAATTCTTCTGAGGCTTCTTCAACTGCACAGTCAAGAAATCACTCTTAAGATTTTTCTCTGAACTTAAAAAACCTATAGTGGCATTGTACAACCTCAAAGCAAATGCCAGCTAGCTGTTATATTATCAGATTGTCTTTACACTCAAAGCTAAAAGAATAAACTAGCAAGACTAAATATGTAACTTGTCAAAAGTGAGTTCACTGATTCTAAGAGCAATACAAATTAATGTATTAAAATAAATTACTAATAAAATTATTCCTCTTACCAACGTCTTTGCTTTGGGTTTGCACAAGAGGTGGTCATTTGTTTCCAGATGCAGAAAAGTTCTGCAAAGCTTTACAGCCAGCATGAAAAATTTCATCTTTCTAGACCTGTGCACTAACTACTAAATTATATTCCCATGAGTTCACCAGCCCTTTCACTTATCTATTCACCTTGCTAATATTATTCTTTTGGCAAAAAAACGCCCTTGGGATGCTGTAAGTAGGAAAGCTAAGAGACTTATTAGAATCTTACCCCAGCCCTCCATCCATAAAGGGTTAAAAAAATGTCCAATTATGGAGGGAGTGCTCCCATATTTTTTAAATATTACGTGTTTAAGATATATAGGTCTTGTTCTGTTGGAGTACATAAATTTTTCACTGCTGAGCTCAGAGTTTTAAAATGACATTTAAGTATGTTTATCCATGTCCCATCAGATCTGGTAGAAGTGAGGTAAAAGCCTTACTATAGGATTTACTTGTCAATTATTCTATGAACTCTCATTCTGTCACAGCACCAAGCACACCTTAAAAAACAGACTCATTGGGGGGTTTAGGAATACTAAAATCAGGAAGATTTAATACCTATATCAAAGATATAATTTTACAGTCCTACTAAGTTATAACATAACTGTTATAAACTGTTATAAACTGTCTGTGCTACTTAAACCATACACATATCACTAAACGAACTGCACAGAATTTAGAACCTTATTTTGAGTCCAACTTTTGCTCTACTTGAGCTTAGAGAATATCTTTCCAAATAACACAAGGAAGAATAGGAGTAGCCAAAGGTAGTATCATACATTCGGATCTAAAAAGACATTCTAAAAATGCGGTTTTCTTGATTAGGATGTTAGCAATCCCTAAAAAGCCAATGAAAGTCTGGAGTACAAAGATTAATATTGTTTCCTGTGTTTACAAGAATGGAACTATTCTGTCAGCACAAGACCTGAATGTGCTCGCAGGGAGTTACTCCAGGTTGACATTTATAGCCTCAAAGGGTTCTTTTTAGACAGGCCAGACAGTCAGGGATGCTTGGGTCCCTGTACTCAAGGTATATTCAGTTTCACTGTGTGTAAACTTAACTCATGAAGAAAAATTAAACATTAGCTATGAAATCAGATTCTTATGAGATGCTTTCAAGAATAATGTAGAAACTCCTGGTGAAAGTATCCTTGTAATCCCAACTAGAGAGCTGGTACAAATTCTTGCACAAGTTAAAATCACCTTACATAAATACAGTACCCTGTGAAATCAGTGGGATCCAAGAAGTTATATGTGTGTCTTCTGTTTCCAATGTTATGACAGTCAAAAATCTATCAGATGGTGATGTTTTTTCAAGGGATTTTTTTAAAGCACTCCTATATATTTACACACACAACTGAATGGGCTTGGTTATTCGTGTACACAAATAGCTATCTCCATATCTAATTAAGCAGGACTGCAAATTCTTACATTAATGATCACTGTACAAAGATTTAGTGTGTGGATCAACACCATTATCAGGCCAAATTCAGAAAGGTAATCTGAAAATAGTCAGGTTTTGCTTGACAGTAACCACAAATTTATCCCTACAGTAAATACCTGAACTCATACATAAAAGTGAAAATTTCTGGAGCCTATTAGCAGATAATCTTATTAAGCTATCACAGCTGCTCTTTAAAAAAACAAAACCAAATGCCTCTTATTTTCAAATGCAAAATTAAGAAACTAAGAATGTGATATTTTAAAGTATCTTGCACTGTTCTGATGATAAAATGCCTTCTGCTTTAAGTGGCATTTCTGCAGGTCATTAGTTTATAATGTAAACCTGCACCTTTGGGTATTTTTAAAGGAAAATGAAGGTGAGAGGAAAACAAGCTGAGCCCTTTTGTTTATACCAGCATATGAAATTGCATTTCTAAGCATTTGATTCAGCTAAAGCTCTACCTTTTAAACAGTTTTAGTGGCAGATGCTGTAGTGACAATGAAAGTGACTGAAATACATGCTGAGGCTTTTTGCAAGTAGCATCGTGATATGCAGCATGCTTCTAAGATAGAAGCTATCCCCAGTGTATCAATCATACATAAAGAAGACCAGAACCTAATTTTCAATCCTCTTATCTCATTCCCCAGTGTCTCCTTTTCTCGTCTATTTTTTATTGGGAGGAGAGACAGAAGGTTGCCACAAGATTATTTCTATGGCAGCTTCAACTCCCCCACTGGTTTTCTGCTCAGTGCCTGTGACTGACACTTAGTTCTGCCTGAAGGACAAGGACAGGACAGACTTCTGAGTGCCAATCAATGGAGCATGCCACATGCTGTAATTGAAAAATACAGTGCTTCTGCAATAATACGAGGACATCATTTTTAGTGCAAAGCCATGGTAGAGAATCGTAAGTGAGCAATATGTAGCTTGCATTTATTTTTATGGCACCTGACTTAACATGGCCAAAAGAAATGAATCTGAGCTACATAATTTGGATCCAGACCTGAACTGCCCATAATTCAGCAATGAAGGTTATGAAGGTTAAGCCCCACCTTTTACTTCATCTGCAGACCATGTGACCTGTTCAGTCTGATCATCCTAATGTGATGTTCTGATGTGCCTTCATCCAAGTTATCTGGTAGCTTGGCACACGTGGCAGCATAGCACAGCTTTAGCGTTAGGAAACCTGTGAAAGTATCCAAACTGCACAGCCCTGATCTCATACCATCTCCTATTATTACATATTTCCTTAGGCTCTTCTTTTATGGAGACCTCTAGCAAAACAATGCAGGGTGTAGTTAGGAAAGCCTGTCCTTCCAAATAGTGCATGCTCCCTCACCTCCCTAAAGCGAGGAAAACATGATTAACCACTTGTAGAGACCTACCTTACAGTCTATGAAACAAGCTAAGGAAAGGCTGTCCTTAGAGATCCAGCTGCTGACAGGAGAAACCAAAGCATTACAAGGATTTGCCTAAGGTCACAAAACAAGCAAGTAGCAGAACAACACTAAATACTAGTGCTTCTCTTTTTAATTTCCCTTCTGGCTGCGATTTCTAATGGGAGATTTGGGAAGTTACATACCTTTCAAAAGATAAGTGAATGTATTTAGAAACTCTTCATATGACTGCTCATGGCTATTAATAAATTGATCAAGGATGCTGTTGTTTAATAGTTGTTCTCCCATGATTCACACCTTGACAGTCGAACCAGTCTATCTGCTTTAGTAGGCTGCTCCTGCAGTAGAAAGAAAAGAGCCATATGTATCTGTAAGCAGAAAGCACATCAACTGAAGAGTCCCTAATTCACATAGATGAGCACCAGAATGCCGAATTTTTCTTCTCTCCTTGTGAAATTCTGATCTTGTCAGTGGGATTTTACACAACATTTCCCCCAAAATTCAAGCGGACATAGTAATTTTAAGTGCAAAGGGAGAGACTGTGATCATCTATGCCTGAAATTTATGTCTTCGGGGACACAGAAGTGTCACTCTTTCTTGGTGGTGTTCATTCCCTTTCTTGAAGTTTTTCAGCCTTACACCCCTGCCTTCTTTGCAGAAACATTGGCACTACTCACTAGCGTGTTGAATTTAGCTACTGGGACACCTGTACGTTCAAAACTTGGACTGAATCCATTGTTCTGCAGGTGCACTGCTCATGGTACCATCAAAGCCAGCAAGCCCAGATTTTGGAGGGCATGTTAAATCATGAAGGGGGGGTTTAAATGACCTATAAACAAATCAGAGGAGGACTGGCAGTAAAGCTTAGATTCCTTTACTCTAAAATACCCTGGGAAGCCCGAAAACTGAGAAGCAATTTGGGGGAATAGTTGTATCCTTAACCAAGCTGAATGGCAGCTTTCTCAAGTGAATGCCATGTTCTACTGCCAACGGGTCATCAGCCTGAGATTAAGCATTCAGACCAGGTGTTATATAGCTCAACTCTTGCTCTGCAGCAGAGC